TTTTTTTTTTTTTCTCGGTACGCGGGCCTCTCACTGTTGTGGCCTCTTGCGTTGCGGAGCACAAGCTCTGGACGCGCAGGCCCAGCGGCCGTGGCTCCGGACGCGCAGGCTCAGCGGCCGTGGCTCCGGACGCGCAGGCTCAGCGGCCATGGCTCACGGGCCCAGCCGCTCCGCGGCATGTGGGATCTTCCCAGACCGGGGCACGAACCCGTGTCCCCTGCATCAGCAGGCGGACTGTCAACCACTGCGCCACCAGGGAAGCCCTATTTTTTAGTTTTTTAAGGAACTCCCCCCATACTGTTCTCCATAGTGGCTCCACCAATTTACATTCCCACCAACAGTGTAGGAGGGTTCCCTTTTCTCCACACCCTCTCCAGCATTTATTATTTATAGACTTTTTGATGATGGCCATTCTGACCAGTGTGAGGTGATACCTCATTGTAGTTTTGATTTGTATTTTTCTAATAATTAGTGATGTTGAGCATCTTTTCATGTGACTTTTGGCCATCTGTATGTCTTCTTTGGAGAAATGTCTATTTAGGTCTTCTGCCCATTTTTTGATTGGGTTGTTTGGTTTTGTTTTGTTTTTTTGATATTGAGTTGTATGAGCTGTTTGTATATTATCACATTTTAAATAAAATCCAAAATTCTTACAATCCCTTAAAAGGTCTTCCATGACTACCATTCCAATCTTTCTATCATACTTCCTGTAACTCACTCTGCCCTCACCTTCTTGTTGTGCCTTGAAAAGAAAAAGCATGTTTCTGCCGCAAAGCCTTTGCAACTTGCTGTTCCCTCAGATTGGGATGCTCCTTCCCCAAACACTCTCTTTAGTTGCTCACTCAATTCTGGTCTCTGTTTAAATTTACTTCCTCAGAGAGGCTTTCCCTGGCTATCCTATCTAATACTGTACACTCTTGTCACCCTCTTCCATTTCTGCTTTTTCTCCATAGCATCTATCATTACCTGATACCATATCACATTATATTACCATCTCCCATCACTAAAACACAAACTTCTTGAGGATAGGGACTTTTGTTTTTGTTCACTGGTGTATTCACAGTGCCAGGCACATAGGGGCTCTCAGTAAATATTCACTGAGTGAACAAACTCAAAAGCATCACCAATGCAGTTAGTTACTCAGAGATACATTTCATAACTCTGGCAGGTTCACTAGGAAGCCATATTACTTCTAAAACCAAGTATTTGGTGGGTATTCTTTATCCCTTTCTTTTAATGAGATATAGTTCTTTATAAAATTCTCTTTTAAAGTATACAAGTCAGTGGTTTTTAGTATATTCATAAAGTTATGTAATTATCACCACTATCTAAGTCTGGAACATTTTCAGCACAATGGATATAGTCTTCAAATTTCTCTATGGCCTTGGTAAATGATTCCTGCTTAGGGAATTTTCCAGGCCAAAACCATGCTCTATAAGAACTTTGGGGACCTGAGCATTGTCTGTTCAGGTGGTAAACTCTTAAATTAAGGAAAATGTCAGTTTTGGGCGTACAAGTGCTCCTATTAGTACTTTGCCTACTGCACTATCAGTTTGGAATACTTGGGAGTCATGATTGGTTTGACCACCTATCTAGGTACCCTTTAAAGTTCACTCATCAGCCATTAATCAGTCACATAAATACCTGCGCTTCAGGAAAATATAACCTCAAACTCTTTCTTCAAAAACCTGGCTGAAAACTATTGAATTAAACAACAAAAAAACCAAACACCCCAATTTAAAAATGAACAAAGGACACGAACAGGCATTTCTCCAAAGATATGTAAATGACCAATAAGCACATAAAAAGATCTTAACATCACTAATCATTAAGTAAATGCAAATCGAAACAATGAGATACCACTTCACACTCATTAGGATGACTATTAAAAAAAACAACAGAAAATAACAAGTGTTGGTGAGGATGTTAAGAAACTGGATCCCTTGTACATTGTTGGTGGAATGTAAAATGATGCAGCTGCTGTGGAAAACAGTCTGGCACTTCCTCAAAAAATTAAAGAATTACTGTATGATACAGCAATTCCACTTCTGAATATAGACTCAAAAGAACTGAAAGTAGAGACTCTGATATTTGTACACCTATGTTCACTGAACTATTCACAACAGTCAAAAGGTGGAAACAATTCAAATATTCACCAACAGAAGAACGATTAAAATGAGGTAGAGTTGACCCTTGAACAACACAGGTTTGAGATCGCATGAACAAGCTGATGCAGAACCACGGATACGGAAGGCCAAGTATGGACTCAAGCATCTGTGAATTTCAGTATACCAGGCAGGTCCTGGAACCAATCCCCCAAGGATACTGAGGGACCGCTACACACAATGGAATATTTACCATAAAAAGGAATGAAATTCTGATACATGCTACAACATGGATGAACCCTGAAAACACCATGCTGAATGAAATAAGCCAGACACACAAGGACAAATATTGTAGGATTCCACTTATATGAGGTTCCTAGAATAAAGACAAAAAGAACAGTGTTTACCAGGAGGCAAAGGGAATGGGGAGTTATTGTTTAATGGGTACAGAGTTTCCCTTCGGGATGATGAAAAAGTTCTTTAAATGGATAATGGTGATGGATGCACAACCATGTGAATGCGGTTAATGCCACTGAGTTGCACACTTGAAAATGGTTAAAGTGGTAAATTTTGTGCTGTATATATTTTACCTCAATTAAAAACAAAAAACAAAACGTGGCTGAAACATTTACAGAAGCTAGTTTAATAGACAAGTAGCCAGTTCATCAATTCTTTTGGTCAGTCTGTCTTCTCCCTCAAGAATTGCTTTTATTGGGCTTCCCTGGTGGCGCAGTGGTTGAGAGTCCGCCTGCCGATGCAGGGGACACGGGTTCGTGCCCCGGTCTGGGAAGATCCCACATGCCGCGGAGCGGCTGGGCCCGTGAGCCATGGCCGCTGAGCCTGCGCGTCTGGAGCCTGTGCTCCGCAACGGGAGCGGCCAAAGCAGTGAGCGGCCCGCGCACAAAAAAAAAAAAAAAAAAATTGCTTTTATCAAATTACTTTGATGTTGTACATTTAGCATTCATCAAAAGACTTAAGAATTTCACTGGAAAAGTTTCTCTCAGAGCTAAGTGCTGGGAAAAGTTTTGCTTTTTCTGCGAACTCTAGTGTATTTGTCTTATGGCATTGTGAATCAAATGTCTGAGCTCTTCTTACTTTTAACCGCTAGGAGTCAAATCCGTGCTTGAATTTTGCTTTAATATGTCTCATACATAGTTATCACAGTTACAACACCCTCCTTGGCCTTGACTTTATTCCTGAATTTTGCTCTGTGTTTGTCAATTAAACTAATTACAACTTTGTAAGTCACACTAAACCTTTGAGGAGTCAGGTGAAGAAAAATAAATACAATTTAATGATCTTTGTAACTCTTCAGCTTACCTGCATGTTCATATAGCCATCTACAGACACCAGGTAGCCTTTGTACTCCATTCCCCACTTAAGCTTCACCATTACTGGCTTTCCTGTTAATCCATTGAGGAAAGGTTTGGGATTGAGGGGCAAACTCTGCACAAAGAACAAAAAAAGAACCCAATTGATTATTTTTCCTTAGTTTGGCTTCCATTACCTACTCTCTTCTCTATCAAATCACCAATATTTTATAGTACCCAAATAAAGCAAAACTCATTTCCCTCTCACATTATTACATAATTTTCACTTTTGTTGAAGAGCATCAGAGAAACTTAAATACCCAGTTAGCCAATTTCACCTTCAATCCATCAAGACTTGTAGAAGTATTCATTGTTCACTTAAGAAACACTGAACACCTAATATGCATCACTCACTGTTCCAAGGCCATAAAGAAACAAAGGTAAAGGCAGAAAAAAGAAAAAAAAAAAGCAGATAACAGTCCCTGTCCTCAGGCCCACAGTGGGAGGGGGGAGGGCCAAAACACATGCAAATAGACAATTATTTTGCAATGTAGTAAGAGGAGATATGCTATGTACAAGGGTACCAAACAATCAAACAATCCAGGTTAAAAGAAAAGGAAGAGTTGCCTGAAATAAGTAATGCCTCTGTTTTAAAGGATGAGAGGTATTTCCAGAGGGAAAAGGGCTGATCTGGTGGGGTGGGGGTGGGGGTACCTATGTAAAAGGAGGGAAGAGTGAATGAACAAGGGATCTCAGGGACACACAAATTAGTTTTGTATGAGGCTACAGGAGGAGGCAGGGACAGATCATGCTCCACGATCTTCAACTGAATTCCAGGAGCTAGGACTGGGTCTTCTTTGACTTTGCAGTGCCTCCTACATATGGGCAATCACTTAATGTTTGTTTATTCAGCTAACCGGTAGTACCCCCAGTGAATTCAGACTTTTCTTCCTTTCCTCATCTGCTCACTCATCGGCCAAAGAAAGAAAACCAATAACCTTGGCTACTAAACCCTCTAGAATAAGCACATTCACAGTGATCTCAAATGGGTCTCCAGTTTTCACTCATCTTTCTCCAACTTATTAGCCACATGGCAAGTATTATTTTTATCATACCATGTCTCTGCTTAAAATGCTTCGATGGCTTCCAACTGCACTTGGAGTGGAACCCAGACCTCCTAAAACGGCCTAAGAGGTCTTGCCCGACCCCATCTCATGACCACTATCCCTGCAGGCGGCTGTGGCTTTCTCAATTCCTCCAGCTAGTCAGGTGTTCCTTCCGGCCTCACAGCCTGTGCTCCTGTTCCCTGAGCTTGAGGTACACACGCTTCCTCCTGCTCTTCACGGGGCTGCATTCCACATCTCTTAGATTTCAGGTTCAATCCCTCCTCCAAGGGATGCCACCTGTAACCACTCTTCTAACGTACCTCGGCGCCCCCTCACAGCACCGTTTGCTCCCTTCTTAGCAGTTAACGTTATTCGAAATTATGTATTTATCGTTGTTTGATTAATGTCTGAGTTAACCTAGAGCAGGGTCCGCATCAGTACTTTTTATCCTATATTCCTAGCACCTAGAACGTTACCTGGCCCTGGCAGGCGGCAGGCGCTCAGTAAAGCTTTGCTAAACGAACAGGAGAATGCTCAAAGCCTGGGCTCTGTATTCCAAAGGGCTGCAGGGCCCCCCAACCTCACGGGACGAAAGCGGATTGTGGAGTGTGATAAGTGGGACGTGAAAAACCGCTGCATTTTTACCCCAGCCCTGTGGCCCCAGGCAGCAAGGACACCTCAGGCTCGGATACAAAACGAAGACGGGGAAGGGGGCAGGGGCACTCCTGGGGAGGGGAGCGCTTCGGAAGAAGGGCGCGCCTCAGACACCCAGAGCAGGGAGAAAGGGGCTGGCCACCCGGCGCGCCGCGCCTCACGCGGATGAATGGGAAACGCGCGAACCAACCACCAGGCCCGGCAAGGCTGGTCACCCGCCCTCTCTCTCTCACGGGACGCTGGCCGCTCTCTTTCTCCTTACCATCGCGACTACTGCTGCAGTAGTGGGCAAATGCTGCAGACTACTCGCCGCCGACCCAGCTGTCGTCCGACCCTCGTGACTGGAGTAGCCACAGCAGGGTCCCCAGCCGCGTAGCTTCCAGAGAAATGGCCGCCAAATAGCAGCGTGACCTTTCACCTCCGACTACCTCTCTTCTGGCTTCTGTGATTGGACGCAAAGAGGTGCGTGCTGATTGGAGGAGGTGGCTGGGCATGTCTCCTGGCAACCAGCTGCGCCGAGTGGGTGCGCGCCTCCATGGCAGTGCGCGGGCCTCTGGGAAACCGGCTGCTCCAAGCCAACGGGAGAATACCTGCGAGGCTGCAAATGCCGTGAGGCGGCTCTGGTTTCTCGTTTGCTCACCTACCTCGAGGGTGCACTGTGTACCCTGTAGAGTGGACGTGATGTCTTGCCAACTTGGCTAGTGGGGGCTTCCTTTGTCCTCGTACACCTGGGAGAACGAATTTGGGGCTCTCGGGTTTCCTCCTCACTTTCCCACAGAATCTGTGCTGGGAGGTCTCCTCTGACACGGTCCCCTTCTCTCTGTTCTGTAATGCTCAATGCTCATGTCAACCCACTTCAGGGGAAGTGGGAGAAGCAAGACTAGATAGGCTAAGGGACGTGAAACGCACCGAAGTAAGTCAAGTACAGAATATATTTCAGATGAGGTTACATGGAGTCTAGAACATGGTGTGGTGGGCTCCCGCTCCATCTGTTTCTTTTGCGTTGTGAGCAGAGGCCCGCTACAGTCTTTATACTGCACTTATAGCAGAAGGTGGAGGATGTTTACGCTATCACGGATTGATCCTTCCAATATAAGAGTGGAATTGTTGGGTCATACAGTAATTCTGTACTTGACTTTTTGAGGAGCTACCAAACTACTTTCCACAATGCCTGCACCATTTTACATTCCCACTAGCAATGTATGAGATTTCTAATTTCCCCACATTCTCACCAACACTTATTTACCATTAAAAAATATTATCATAGTCGTCCTAGTAATCCTAATAATAATAAGCCGTCTCATTGTGGGTTTGATTTGTATTTCCCTAATGACTAATGATGTGGAGCAACTTTTCATGTGCTTATTGGCCACTTGCATATCTTTGGAGAAATGTCTGTCCAAGTCCTGTATGCCTTTTTATATGTTCTATTTCTGGAACCCTTGAATGTATTGCCTAATTTGAAAAGTCATGTGACCATTCTGGGTCTCAGTTTCTTCGCTGATAACAATGAAGGGATTGGACTCGATCGGGGTTTTCAACCTCAATACTAGTGACATTTGGGGCCAGACAATTCTTGTTGTGGGGACTGCCCTTTGTATTGTAGAATGGATGTATTGTAGCAGTATCCCCAGCCTCTACCAAGTAGATGCCAGTTGCAACGCCCTCCCTCCAAGTTGTGACAACCAAAATATCTCCAGACATTGCCCAGTGTCTTCTGGAGGGCACAGTCGTCCCCTGTTGAAAACCACTGGATTAGATCCATGATTTGTAAACACAGGCCACAGACTTGGATCACTTTGCAGGTAGTATTGAGGCTTTGCAAACTATTTGTATTATTAAAAAATAAACAAAACAACTAACAAATCGTACATTTATTTAACAGGGACTGTATAAGAATGATGAAAACCTGATGCTTCTCTGCTTTTGATTAGAATGAAATCAACTCAAAATACAAATACTAGTTGATAATCATGGATCAGAAGCTCTGATTGACATTTATAGATGTATCTGATTTATAAAAATGGGAAAGAAAATTGTCAATAAATGATGTTTTTTAGCTTCATAAATCATAGATTCAGTTTGGGGGGAGGGTAGATAATAAAACCCTTTGCGGGTAAAAATCTGGGAACCCCTCAGCTAGCTGACCAGTGCTAAATACTGACTTTAAACACAGTTCGGTTCTTTGCCGTACTTCCACAAGGTGGCAGTGGTGAGTTTTGAGTAAAATTTCTAATCATACAGGCACTTGGAAGTTAATCTGTTCAAAAGGGGACTTCACTGTTCTCAAAACACAAACAACCCACTACTGGGCATATACCCTGAGAAAACCATAATTCAAAAAGAATCATGTACCAAAATGTTCATTGCAGCTCTATTTACAATAGCCTGGAGATGGAAACAACCTAAGTGTCCATCATTGGATGAATGGATAAAGAAGATGTGTGGCACATATATACAATGGAATATTACTCAGCCATAAAAAGAAACGAAATTGCGCTATTTGTAATGAGGTGGATGGACCTAGAGTCTGTCATACAGAGTGAAGTAAGTCAGAAAGAGAAAGACAAATACCGTATGCTAACACATATATATGGAATTTAAGAAAAAAAAATGTCATGAAGAACCTAGGGGTAAGACAGGAATAAAGACACAGACCTACTAGAGAATGGAGTTGAGGATATGGGGAGGGGGAAGGGTAAGCTGTGACAAAGTGAGAGAGTGGCATGGACATCTATACACTACCAAATGTGAAATAGATAGCTAGTGGGAAGCAGCTGCATAGCACAGGGAGATCAGCTTGGTGCTTTGTGGTCACCTAGAGGGGTGGGATAGGGAGGGTGGGAGGGAGGGAGACGCAAGAGGGAAGAGATATGGGAACATATGTATATGTATAACTGATTCATTGTTATAAAGCAGAAACTAACACACCATTGTAAAGCAATTATACTCCAATAAAGATGTAAAAAAAAAAACAAACGAAACAGAACAAAACCACATAGAACTTCTCCCACAGTCTCCTGTGCTGTACAGTCTCCATCCCCCTCACCCCTCAAATGTTTCCAGTGAATCAAATTTTTAAAAATAAGCTTGTTATTCTACTTTTCATCTGTTACCCACCTTGTTGCTAGAAGTATCTCTAACCTCCCCTCCTCCAAAATAAAATGAAAATCTGGACATACTACTCTGCTACCTTTTTTTGGTTCCCATTTACCAGCGGCCTAAAACAAGTTCCTTCCCAAAGTTTCTTTCCAGCTTTATGTCTTTCCGTTCTGTCCCACAAACCACAAAGCTGGCCTTTGAATCACAGGCCATGTTTGTTTTTGTTTTTGTTTTTTTACAACTCCATGTACTTACACATGATACTCTCTCCATCTAGAAATCCTTTCTCCTGTTTGCTTTGCCTGGAAAATTCTTATCTCCATGATCCAATTCAAATGGGCACTTTAGGTCTGAAGACTTCTCTTAAACTTCCCCAGGCCATTAGTTATTCTGTCACATGGTTCTACACCATCTATCCTGTTTTAACACCAGCTACCCTCTATTTTAGAGAAAAAAAGATTTTGTTCATTAACTCATTTGTTGCTGTTACATTTCATTCCGTAGTGCAATACACATCATTTTCCACATTCTGTTGGCTAGAACACAGTCACATGACCTCACCTAAGTCCAATGGAGGCTGGGAAATGTGCTTTGTCAGTGCACAGGAGGAAAAAGGCAACGTGAACACAGAGTGGTCTCTGCCACACTCAGAAATTCTACTCTAACAATTTGGTTAGTTTTTACAATTTTGCCTAACCTCTTATATGCCATCTGTTTACACTCATTCCATTTTAGGCTGTATATCAATATGTTATCCAGCTTCATTATCACCTTTCATTGTCCTGGGGTATTTATCAACTATAATTCCAATGCTGAAATAACTACTGTTAAATTTTGTTATCAACTCTTTTCTCTATGTATAAGTGTATGTATTTTGATATAGTTGGAATAATATATAAATTTTTATCCTATTTGACTTAACATTACAGTAAAAATAATTTCTCTTTCTTAGGAATGTTTCAGTGTCAATATTTTTAATGGCTGCATAACATTTATCATATATTTAGATATACCCTAATTGTTGGGATTTAAGTTGTTTCTTGATTTGTTACTATATAAAATATCAATCTAGGAATATTCTATTTATGTATGTATATTTCTTTCCTTTATGTCCATGTATCTCTGTACAAGTCATTCTGTAACATGGGTGCCTCTGTGCTACTAGAGGTAGTTTAGCGCAAAGTGTGTGGACTCTGGAATAGGCACTGCTTGAGTTCAAGTTCCTTCATGGGCCTTCTGACTTTGAGTTCTTCATTTGTATAGTGGGGCCAACGGTAGTCTCTACCTCCTGAGGTTTGGGATGACTAAATTAGTTAATAATTAAAAGAGATCCTTTCCTTCTTGAAACTTTCATTCATTTATTCAGCAAATATATATTGTGTCACAACGTGCTGATCATTATTCTAGGGGCTGTGGATGCAACTGTTCCAAAAGGAAGGAACAATCTGTGGGAGAAACCCAACCAAAAAGCAAAGAAATAGTTACAACTATTATGTGCTGAAAGGAAGTGAACTGGGCGGGGAGATAGAGAAACGGTATGGTGGAAAGTGAAACCAACTCAGATAAGGAAGTTCTATTTTGCCTAAATTTGTCTAAAGACCAGTCTGCCAAATGACGAATATACCAAAAATTGCTAAATATCTAAAACAGGTTGTTCAGAATGTTCCCTACAATGGTTTCACTGTCAGTGAGTGGCCAGGGTAGAGGCAAAGCTCCAGTTTACAAAAATAGAGAAGACAGCAAAACCTTTCTGATGGAAAGTTTACCCTCAAAGAGGGCTAGGCATCCTCAGATGAAATGCACGCAAAACTGATAATCAACTGAGCTGAACCCATAAATCCTTGGAGGAAAACAGCTGTGGCAAAATGACTGCAGTGAATCTTGCATGTAATGAATATTTCAAAAGCAATCAGTAATTCAGCAAGTGTGCGTTTAGTGAATTGACTTCCTTCTGGAAGTCAGAGAAGGCTTTTCTGAGGAGGTGACGTTTAACCTGAGGCCAAAACTATGAGAAGGCATAAAAACTCCTCTATTCGTAATAATTGGACTACTCACATAGTACATGTTATAGATCGTTCTGTATTGTGGTATTCGTGTACATGTATTTGACATCCTACTATAAGTTCCTTAAGTTCAAGGTAAACAAAAATTCAGTATTTGGTTACTGCTAGATGAGGACTGAGTGTGGTGAGACAAACAAAAGTGTCTGCGGGGCCATCCCTGTGGCTGTCTGTGGGTTGCTTGGTAGTAAGCTTGCTGGGCTTGGTGGCTCCTTGCCCTCTCTCTGCAAGGGTTCCAGGTGCTAGCACAGCTAGGCAACTAGCGTTCCCAGCACTGGTATGGAACAACCCTGAGCAGCTGGCAACCAAGCTCGAAGACCAGTTTTCCTCTACATGCAAGGCTGTTCTCGCAAGGAGGGGGCAGGCAAGTTTGCTTTTCTGGAGCACAACCCTTGAAGTATCTAGCCATGCCAAGCCCACACATATCTGTCCATGGGATGCCAAACAGGCCGCTGACCCTTCTGCCTGCAGATTCCTGCCCGCAGTGTTTGGCCCTAGCCCTTCACTCAACTGGATAACACCCAAGGCAGTGTTTCACTTTGCCGATATTGAGTGAATGAATGAACACATGGAAGAAAATGATGACTAGACTCAGCTCTGATCTAGATGATCCCACAGGCATACTACAGTATAAGTATAGGTGAGGAAAGCAATAAAGCCTTGAAACTGCAGTCTTAATGCTTGTTTCTCTTCTCCCAAACAGGGAGCTCCGCTGAAGATGCTACATTTGTTAAGCATAAGGTATCGCTGCTCTTTCTAGTCTTAATTTAGGTTGATGCTTTCAGAGAAGGAAAACCTTGCCAATGGTATGTGGCTTTTTTTTTCTTTTGCTTCCACCTATAATAAGTTAATTGTGTATGGAACATAAAATAAATATTAAAGAATACATTGATAATCTGTTATGGTCAGTTATTTCCTCTTTTATTCCCATCTTTTCTCTTCCCTTTTCTTCTCTCCCCTTTCGTTCCTTTTCTTCAGTAAGCATCTATTTATCACTGACTCTATTACAGGCTCTGGGGATACAAAGATTAACAAATAGAGGCTTGGTTCCTGCCCATGTGGAACTAACTGGACCCAGTTAACAAAAGGAAGAAGAAAAAACACTTTCAAGGCAAGGAAAGGAAGGCAGAGTAGAAAAAAGTGAACTACAAGGGACTAAGCAACATCTTTTATTTTTTCCTACCTCGGTCCTACTCAAATCCTTACACAGTTTTTCCTTGCTATGTGCTGTCTTCTCCCAGCTTCTCATAAATCCCACTTGCAATAATCATCAAAGGGTTCCACTGATATTACAGCAAGTTAACCATTTATTTTATCATATTTTCCAAGATGATCCTCAAAAACTTCTAGGAAAAGAGAAAACAGTACCTTTACAGCAGAGAAACTGGGCAAACACTGCCTTAACTAAGCAATGAAGGCCAAGATGACCAGTGATGTCTGTGGATCTCATTTAATCTGCCAAATGTGTATGCTCTCCTTTGCCGGTTAACGATGAATGAACCATCCTTGAAACTAAAGGAAGTTCTGTGCGCGAAGGGACTT